CTAATGTGCAGGCCGTTGTTGAGCCCGTTTTTTCTTATCATTCGCGATAGCGCCCGTGACCGTCCCCGCCCCCCCCCACCCCCCCACCCCGCGATAGCGCCCGCACCATTGGGGTCTGCGCTCGATCAGGAGCGACAGGCTGGTCGGGCAGCAGCACGGTCTTACGCCTGTGGCCTCACAACCCAGGGCTGGCAGCACCGCCACCACGTGGGCAGCAGCGGCTGCGCTTGCTCTCTTGTCGGCCGCAGCCTCACACCCGGGTTGTTCTAGTGGGCCGCGTCTTAGATTCTGTTAAAAGCGCTAGGGCCGTTTTTTGCTCCGTTTGGGGGTCTGTGTTTCTTCCGTCTTGGGATTACTGTTCGCGGCGTTTCCGGTTCGGCTCCGTTTTTGTACTGCCTTTGCTTTTGTCTCTGTTTTGGGCTGCCGTTGTTTGTCCGTTTTGGTCGGCCGAAACAGAACAACAGAAAAGCTGCAACGGGGGAACAAGGTTCCCGAAGTTTTTTTGCATGAACGAAGGCCGGGGCTCGGAACCCTCGACCAATCGCTAGCGTGGGGTGTTGGGCCGTGGGCTGCTCCTCGCTGGTCCTGGGCCCGAGCCCAGCACTCGGTCGCCCCGCCCGTGAGGAGCGCCGAGAGGTGCAGGTCTCGATGCGATCAGATCTCGCCAGCAGCCCAGACCGTTCAGAGGCGGCGCAGGGGTCCCCTCGGCGGTCGAGCAGCGCAGGTCAGACTCGCGCTCCGCAGAATCGTCCGCTGGGTCGGCGGGTGTGCCATGGCGCCAGAAGCTTCGCCAATTGGCTGCGCCGTAGGTCACAGGTAGTGCCAGGCACCCTGTGGGCCACCAAATCTACCGACGCCTCAGTGGGTGCACCTTTGCGCAGTCGGTTGCGCCAGGCATCCCAGTGGGCTACCCCATCGTCCAGTGCCCCAGTGGGTGCACCATTGCGCTACAGGTTGCGCCATAGGTTGCGGCAGGCAGCCCGCTGGCCACCATGACTTTCTTTGAATCGGTGGGTGCACCATTGAATCCAAGGTTGCGCCATGGCTTGCGCCCCGGCAGGCATCCCGCGGGCCACAAGATCGACCGATGACTGGGTGGGTGTAGCATTGCGCCATGGGTTGCGCCAGGCACCCCGCCGGCCACCAAATCGGACGTCCCCTCAGTGGGCGCACAATTGCGCCACAGGTTTCACCTTAGGTTGCGACAGGCACCCCGCGGGCCACCAAATCGGACGATGCCTCAGTGGGGTCTGGGAATTCATAGGAACAGCCAAGGACAGTTAGTATTAACATGTAGGTCGGTAGGGTTCTGCCAGGGATAGCTATGCACAGCGTAGGGGCTTGCTAAGAGTAGCCACGGGCAGCGGACGCAGTCCCTGTGCGCCCCACAACATGCCCCATCCAGGGTAAACCACGAAGCATGTGCGCACAACTTCGCCTGCGTGCACCACAACGCCTGTGAACACCAGTGCTTATGTACATCATTGCATGTGTACACGACAGTCCATCTGTACACGGCAATGCCTCTGTACACCACTATGTCGGTGTACACCACAACGTGTGTACACCACAATGCCGATGCACTTCACAGTCCCTGTGTGCACCGCAGTGTGGCCTCCAGGATGGCCCCCGATGGCTCTAAGAGATCATGTTACCAACACGGCCCAAGATGGCCTCAAGACGACGCAAGAGGGTTTCAGAGGATCCCACGAGAGCCTCAAGGGGGAAACAAAAAGTGCTTATCGTGTGCTTCGACGTCTTTCGCTTTATCGCCTTTTGGAATTTCCGGCAGCCAAAGACGGCCCAGAACGCCACCTGCATAGCCCCAAGACGACCCAGAAGGCCTCCGAAAAAGCCCCAAGGCAGCCCAAGACGGCCACAAGACGGCCCAAGGGAGCCCCAAGACCGCCGTAAAGGGCCCCAAGAGGGCCCCAAGAGGGCCAAGAGAGGCACCCAAGACGGCCTCCGAAGGCGCCAGACGGTCCAAGATCGCTCTTATACGGTCCAAGAGAGCGCTCAGATGGCCATCGCAAGGCTCAAAATACCCGACGACAGCCCCAGGCAGTCGCAAGACGATGTTCCCGGTCCACCAGCGTGGTCGCATTGTCGCTCAACAGTTCACCACACGGGCGGCAGCTGCACCATCGGGCACCCACATACACGCCAAGAAAGCGCGCGGCCCTCGCTTGCGCCCGGTTTCTCCCATGTCGGAAGGGGCGGGGCAGAGCCGCGCTGTTTTGGCCCCCAAGCGCCCGCGGCGCGGCAAGGACTCCATCGCGCACCCAGTTACACGCAAGAAATGAGCGCGTGACCCGCACCTGCGCCCAGCTGCCGAGGCAGGGGAGAGGCGGCGACTCGCCGCGGGCGCCCTCGACAATCGCAGGCTGCTTCCTCCCAGGGGGCAGGCGAGCGGGGGCGCAGCAGCTCGGATCTGCTGCCCCCGTCGCCCTCAGCAAAGGGGGTGCTCGGCGTGCTGGGCATCCGAGGACTGCCTGGCACTCTTGGGTCCCTCCGCGAGGGTTCCTCCGGGCTGGTCGCCCACTGCCGACGAAGCGTACCAAATGTCCCCCTCGTGCGTTTTGCTTGCCAACCTCGCCCCCACGATGTTTCCACATACACCCAAGATGGCCCGAGGACGGCCAAGACGCCTTCAAACCGACCTGTCCGCAGCATCTTCCTCACACGCGTGCATGTTTAATTCCCACGTATGGATCCGAAGCCAGGCCAGATGCCATCCCTCGCAGGGCATACCGTCCGCCGCACTTTCCGTTTGTGCTGTGCACATGGTCGTGCTTCCATTGCTATTGCCCTCGGCCTCGGGCGCCATAATTTTCAATAGCAGCGCAAGCGTTGCTTGTTGTACGTCAACTAATCGATGCTAGGCGTGCTCAACTCAACCCTTCGCAGTAAACACTTCCGGTCGCATTCTTTTCACGTTCGATTCCGCGACCCTTTATCCACAACGACTGGACCCGAAGCAATTGCAGGCTCATCACCAAAGCGCATTAGCATGGCAGCACAGGTGGTGCTGCGGATGCTGGCGGGGCTCGTTCATCGGCTGATGGGGCATTCAAGAGCGCAGTGTTTACCAGGAAAATCGCATCACATGGCCCCGCGTCCAGTAATTCCTCTTTGACGTGAGAGCCCGTATTTATTTTGCACAACGCTTGGGTCCGACACCATGCCAGTGTTGAGTGGTTTCGGAGCACTCCGTCTTGCGCCGATCTGGTTTGCCGCGATGGACTTGCAGTGCCGCCGCCATGTGTTATTTATTTCAGACGAGGTCTACGCGGCGTGTCGCCGTCGCCCCTTGCCGTTAGGACAGGCCCACGTTGGCAGGATTTTGCATGAGCGTTGGCATGAGGGAGGTGTAGGAGCTTGCGTGACAGGGCTTGTCATACAGGCCTCGGAAAAAATTAGCGAACACTCATGCCACACGCAGCTGTCAACGCCTCCCCCTGCCCCCAATGTTCAAAGCTGGCGGTGGGTCTGATGAGTTGCACCTCGACCGCAGTCTCCCCCGCGCGTGCCAACTTTGAGTTTTGGGGGCAGGGGGGGTGCTTACAAATTGTTTCCCTCTACCGTACCATTAAACTTAAGTCGGGTCTGTCCCCCTACAGGGGGATTTTCGACGAAAAATTAAAAATACCCGAAAAATAATCCAAAAATAATCCAAAAATAGCCTGGGGACTGCTTTTTTGCATATTTTGTAACCTTTTTGGGGCATGTTGGGGGTATTTTTCATTTGTCCTCGAAAATCCCCCTGTAGGGGGACAGGTCCGACTTAACATTAAACAGAAGCGATAGCGACAAATCGCACGATCGCATCCCGCAGCCACGCTCCGCCCCTTTGCTGCCGCAGCGACTGGGACAGCACACGGGCAGGGATCCGCAGCCGTCCGCTCGGCGCGAGGCGTCGGCCGGGAGATCTGTGGGCCACCTTGGCCGCCCCAGGGCGCTCCGGGCTCGGCTGGCACCGTTAGGGGCCATGTTTAAGGCGGGCGTGTCCCCCTACGGGGGGATTTTCGACGAAAAATAGAAAAAAATACCCCTAAAATAATCAAAAAAAAAATCCAAAAATAGTCTGGAGACTATTTTGTCTATTTGTTTTACCTTTTGGGGGTATTTTGGAATATGTTTTATTTTTCATCGAAAATCCCCCCGTAGGGGGACAGGCCCGACTCAACGTTAGGGGCCGTGTGTCGGGGACTCTTTGGGTCGTCTTGGGGCCCCTCGGGGCTCTGCTAGGGCCGCCATGGGTGGGTCTCGGAGGCCTCTTCGGCCGCCTTGAAGAGCCGTATTGAAGAAGAAGAAGAAGAAGGGCGGTAATAACGAAAGCCGTTACCACACATTCGAGTTCTTGTGTTGTTGTCCTATGTGTGTTGCCTCTCGGAGAACCCTTGGGGAGCGTATTGGCGGCCTTTCCGGGCGACATGGCGGTCGTCTGGGAAACGTCTTGGAGACTGCCACATGAAAAGGAAATCTATGAACAGGAGGAGGAGGAGGAGGAGGAGGATGGTGCCCTACCTTGCCGGGGGGCACAGCCGAGACAGAGAGAGAGGGAGACTGGCGGGGTCGGGAGACCGGCGGGCGCGACCACTCCGAGGCTCGCCCCGGTGGCTACTCAGTGGACGGGGACCCTGGTCGCTGTAGCGAAGTGGCGTCATTCCTGCCGCGTTCCTGTACCGCCCCGCGCGAAAGCGAGGCACTCCTGCCACCTCCCTGCCGCTCTTCCTGCGCCTGCCTGCGCGCGGCCGAGGCCCCGCTGTACGGGGTACCCGGCACTGGTGGCGCTGGCAATCTGGGGCCCGCCCAGAGTAGAAGCATCAGCTCGGGCAGCATGTCCTCCTACAGGTGGGTTTTGTGAAAAATAAGAATTGCCAAACAGGTTCACGAAGAGCCAAACGAGCACGAAACATCGTCACCGGACTATTGCTTAAATCGTTCTCGGATATAGGGGGACATGCCCGACTCCATAGAAGCAGCAGAAGATCTGCAGA